GTTTGGAATTTGGGTTTTTAGCCATCCCTCCTAGGTGAACTGCCAGTAGTTCGTCTGTAGTTCTAAGGTTGATTGAGAAAGCCATCGTGAGTCGCTTACAGTCACTTCTCACCACTCCTTATGATCCTCTTCAGTTCGCTTATGAACCCAACAGATCCGCTTTGGATGCTGTCTACTATGGTCGTCCATTTTATAAGCAAGTCATTAAACAGCTGTGCCAAATCTGTTTGTTGCATTTTTCCCGATTATTCGTCTACTTTTGCTTCTGTGTCCCGGCCATTCCTCCTTTTTAAGCTTGAATCTTTTGGGACCCCGAGACAGCTGCTTTCGTGGCTTTCCGATTATTTCACCAAAAAAATCCAGTGCACAAAGCTGAGCAGGAATACTTAAAGTCCTCTGCACTGCAACAAAAGACAATAAGATTATATATACATGATGACTGTTCCGAATTAGAATGCCGATGGTAACACGTTGAGGTTTTTATTTTTTCCCCTCACGCAGTGGCAATCGTCCCCAAGTGTGTTTCTGGTATGAAGGTAATGACGGTTGGGCCCAACAGTTATTCTACAATTTTACGGATTCCGGACCACGGATGAAGGATTTAGACGGCTTTGAACTTCCCGAAGAGTGCCACACAAACCGGGCTTGCCTCTATCGACCATGAATGCATTAACACGCTGCGCGTCAAGAGAAAGTCAATTAAAATCGTTGGTTTTGTTGTTGTTCTGTAGCCTACGTTTTTGTAATCTATCTGCCAATTCGCTGCATTGAAAAAATAATAATAAAAGAAATCGGTTTTTCACAGTGGTAAACAGTTGAGCGGAATTCGCAGGAAGTGAAAAATATATCGGACATTTCCTTGTATAGTCATTCATTTCACACAGATTCACAAGCAACACCGTCGATTGTATTGTGTGGGCCGTAAAGTTTTGGAGTTGGTTAAATCTTGGGCCTGTAAGACTCCATGGGTGGCTTTACAAGAAAATGAAGCTCTATATTCAACGTTGCTCCAGAATAATGGTTTCCATTCCCAACCGGCCACTTGACGATTTAACTCTTGGGAAAGACTTGAAAACAGAACGCATCGGTGATAAGTGACAGCAATTATGACGAAGCAACCAAAATTAGAACAACGCATCGCATTTGATAGATCGCTGGAGGATTTCATGCCTACACCGACAGAATAAAACCTACTCTGGAAACATGTAACGTGACTGGAATTATATAAAAACACCCTTTTTCAGTCGATAAAGCAAGATTTTGTAAATATCATTAGGTCATCACTTTTATCCCAGAGAAATAGAACACAATATTTAGTGTTTAGACTATCAGTTAATGATTGACCCCATTTTCGCAACTAACGGGAATGTAAATGATCCCCATTGATGTATGAGAACAAAGGCGATCAAATCTGCTTTAATCACTTCAAGCATTTTTACATACGATTTCGTTCTTCACCAAATTATAAAATGGTCTGAAGTGGGATTGAATGAGTGATTGGTTGCGTGAAAAATTTTCGGTTGACAACCTACCATGAGGTCTTAAGGAATGAATCATCAATGACAAATTGCAGCATTTTCACTCGGTCGTCAATTTCGCACACCTCATTCAGTTGAGGATCGAGTAGAGATTCAGACGCCGTTCGAGAACATGATGATCCCATTTTAATACAATACCTGTATCACATACGTGTGTAGATTGCCTGAAATCGTCATTAGATTCTTATTGGCAAAACAGCACAGGAAATACAGCGAGAAATCTGACCAAACTTTGGAATATTATTCTATCAATACCGGATAAAGGAGTGGGATGGGTGGTATTGAATCGATCTAAATGTGACGATTAGTTGAGTGCAACGCTTGCTGGTGATGGGGAATTCTGTCGTAGTTTACCAGAGAAAAATGAAACGCAGGAATTTGAAGGAAAACTGACAAAGATATTGAGGCAAATTCACTTAGAGAAATACATCTCCAAAGCTCTCTTTAACAAACTTGTTCCATATGCCTTTCAACTGTCGAGGCCCTATGGATTGTCGAGAATATACGAGCCAAATATGCAACTTAGGTCAGCGATTGATATGAACAGTTTAATCTGGCATGTTATAGCGCAGTGGATTCTAGTGTATGTTCACAAATCGTTGACTATATGTAATGTGAAAGATTCGTGTGCACTATTTGACCGTTAAAGGAATTGATAAATGTCACGTCAAACCAGGATTCCGTTGAATGTCGAATCTTTGCTCACAAATAAACCACCGTTTGAGATGTCAGATTTGAATTTTGAACGCAGATGACCACGATATCCAGACAGGAATCCCGGTAACAAAACTATAAGGAACTGTTTATTACAGTTCTAATCGAAACTGAAGCAACGGGTCCCTGTGAAACACGTGTGGGTTCGCATAGGCAACAGCATTTATCCTAGAGTAAATTAATTTTCCAAGCCTTGGTGAGTCTTTATAGCTTTGATTTTCCTGGTTCGTTCATACTCAGCAGATGGAATCGTTCAGAATGTAGCGGATAGTCCAGTTTCGTCAGTAACGGTTGATCTAGACCATAATGAGTTAAGAGCTAACTAAAGAGAACAAAACAGTTTTTATTTACAGCAAAGTAGCATTGATAATAATTAGGATGTATAGTTTATGTACACTAATATTCGATTATTATGAAACCTTACTTAATGCAATTTATTCCGGTTGTGAAAGAATTTCATTTGGTTATTCGATAGAGTTGATATAATTGATTATATATCGGATAAAAAATGCCCCATAACAAACAACCGAGATGGCAAGGGTTTATGGAAATAATTTGGGCTATTTCTTGAGTCATTCCTATTAGAAAATATTGCGTTTTCATGTTTGATAAAGTTTGCGATTTTCATGTTAAGAATACTTAATCTTGACAACCAGGGTCAGGCACGTCTCATTGACACTCGTGCAGACTAGGAACTACGTAGATCGAAGTAGACAAAATATAAATTATTGTAAAAGTCTAAACTATTAATATAGGTGATAAATATAATTAAACTCAATTGGAGCATAAAGAAAATATTTTAGTGCATCACAATCAGTCAGTACTGTAGATACACTTGGAACGTGCAGTTATGTACGATCAGAAGTACATTGATAGAAATACGATGTGTCTATGGGAAATCCGCTTGGACTACATTTTTTGAAAATATATATTTGGCCAAGATCAAAAGTGGATCATTGAATTAAACAATGGATAGTCTAGATTTATACGCTTGACATATCGACGATAAATACACCATTCGTGATTCTACAACGGGCATTATGAAACTACTCGAAGCATTCAATAACGTTCATCCATATATTCGTTTTACGATGGAGGTGAAAGCATAATCACCTCACTATTCCTCGCTGCCAGAATGGAGAATTGCATTGCGTAAGTATTAAATGAGTTCAGTTTTACAAAGATAAAAAGGCAATTTAGGGAACTATTTAATGTACAAGGTAAAAAGACTTTGTAGCCCAGAGAACTTAGACGACGAGTAAACTTAAAGAAGAAGCATCCCCGGCGCGACGGGCGCCCAGAAACAATTATTCGATGACACTTAGAATGGCAATCAAACGATGGCCAAACACCGATAGCTAGAAAGAATGAAGTATTTATGAATGTTCAACCTGTGCGGTCCCGGGTTTAATCCCCAGTTGGGTCGATGGATTCGCACTTCTGATGAAATCCAATAAAATCGAAACAACTGTACGTAGCTTCCAGACTTTTCAGTTCTCGCTTCATTTGTTCTGTGCATGCCGAAATTCATTATCTGGTCAAATCAATTCCACCAATACCCGCAGATGATATAAAAGAGCCAATAATGGAACCTCGCATCCCTATGCACCACTCACCGACCTACTGTTCACAGAAATGAAAACTGGTTAGCACTCATTCAATTACTGTACTGAGAACTCACCTCAGTTTCTAATGAAACCTTTGGAATCTAACGCAGGGAACAAATAAACACAAAATTATTGGTTTATCTTCAATCAGTTTGCACTCAAGGATCTGATGTTCCGAAACAGACTTCAACAAGCAGTGCCCAGTCGATTCTTTGTTTCAAGTGCACTCTCTCTCCGATTACTGTGGGTTTCTTTTTCGGAGTTTCTCTGAATCATGATAAGATGATGCTAGAATAAAAGCGATATGTGTGAAGATCAAGGGACTAACCATACGATATAACTGTATCTTCAACGGCGCCAACCGAATTTTGAACAATTTGTGTTCAGTTATCAATGGCAGCAAAAAAACCTATTGCAAGGGACTAATTATTTAGGCGATTTAGAAATCGGAACGCTGATCATCAAATCATTTGTTTGCAATCACGCCTGCATGACACATATCGAAGGTTCTCGTGTTTAACGTTAGTAGAATTTGGGATAAAACTTCGGTATATCTAGGTAGTTTTGTTTTATCTCACAACCCCATGACTGTTTAAGATAACAACAGAACAGCGTGATTGTGCAAAAGTAATTTCTATTCCATTCACAAGAAGATAGATCATTTGGACTGTAGGACTAATCGACTGATTATTGTTGTGTGCGTAAACAGTTCGCTTGTCATGCGTGCTGTTGTCGACACTATGTTTTACAGTCGACTTTGTATGAAAATGGCAGGATCAGAGATTTTGGTACAGATGAGAGACACTGGGACAATACTGTGAAGTGTTTCTTCTTTCAACGACATCAGCTGCTGCGAAGAACAAACTTGCGTCATGTCCACAATACAGACGATACACGCCACTTGCGGACTCTAAAGATATTTTCTGCAGCTGTAGCTTTCCTCATACTGCTCTTTGCCAAGAGACTGGAATGTGAAAGAATTATTTTTATTGTTGTAACTTCTAAAACTAATGCGAGACAGTGACCCGGGTAGTACTTGTTATCCAGTTGAGTATTTGCATTTAGCTCAAATTTGGGGTTAATACTGTAGATTAAATGCTATTGATTTTGACCAATAATTTTTCAGACTTCATTTTCACAGTTCGCCCAGTCGACCATAAGCTCGAAAAGCATTACACTCGAGTTTCGATCTCATTCGAGCTAGTCATCACTTTTATTTCACACCGTTTCTCTTTTCACTCTCTTTTTTACTTCTGTTTATTGAATAGACAGATCTGTCAGGGTGTGAACGGGATTATTTGAAAAGGGAATTTCGGCTCGAAAGGTTGTTTGGCCTCACAAGTAAAACACCGAGGGATATCCGATGGGTGACATGAACAGGAGGAATCTGGGATTATTCGGGAGTGACGGGGAGAACTAGACAGACTGGAAAGAGGTTTCTCCAAATGGGTGCTCAAGACTTTGGAGCATGGCATACTTCATGGTAGCCTATACCGACGGAGGGGTTTTTCTTTGGGAAAACTAACCGGAGCCTTCCACTCAAAAGTCTCACTCACAAGGTAGTGAAGCGCTGATCCAACGAGGGAACGTGAACGAAGCATCCGTATGGGAGCTTCTGGAGACTTGTCATGCATGGCTTTTCTATTTAGGTTAAGTGTGTTGCTTGCCGGTGTGTTGTTTGACGGTCCACTTTTCGGAATCGGGCCTTAGTCTCATGAACCCAATGGGACAAGCGGAACACGGAAGCGACAGCACCTTATTGGCTGGGGGATGTTCAGCTTGGGCGGGCGGTATCTGTCCAACGA